AAGTGGAAGGGGGGGGGGGATGCGGCCAATATACATATTACGTGCAGCCTGTTGATTTATTGAATAAGCCAGTAACAGTCGCGCCGTATACAGCGTCGCACGCGAGTCGCGAGGTGATTGAGCTTCGTCGTCGTCATCGTCGTCGTCGTTCGTCGTTTGTCGTCGTACGGTCGTCAGAACTCATTTTTGGATCATTGCTGTTCACGATATTCGTGACTGAAAGGAAACAATTTCCGACGGCTGCCGCACGAAGACAGGATTCTCGAGGATCCACGGTGACGAGGGGACTGGTTCTATCGCGGTGAGCACTGATTTTTCATGGTTTAACTCTTTGCGTTATAGTGTCGCGACACGAGTTCGTTATAGTAGTCGTCTAAATGCGAGTGGTTTTCGTTCGTTTTAAATCGGTATTTCAATCAGTGTTATTATTGTAATTAATATTGATTTTTACGAATGAGTGAGCGCTGATTTTTCTTTGCGTTATGGTATCGCGACGGATTCGTTATGGCAGTCATCTAAATACAAATGTTTTTTTAAATCAATATTTCAAACACACAGTATATTGTTCTAATTAATATTGACTTTTACAACTGAGCGAGCATTAATTTTTCTTTGCGTGATAGCATCGGGACCGATTCGTTACATTTTTCTAAATATGTCACTTGCTCGTTTCTTTTATTATTATTTATTTTATAAATATTTTTACATACTTATATTATTATATAAATGCTTTTATATTTATTATATATTTTTATATACTTTCATTACTATGTTTTATATAAAATTTTATATACTATTTATTTTACTATTGTTTGAAGTACCGAATGAATCATTATTTAAAATAGCAAATAAACTATTACTCGTAATACCAAATATAAATTATCATTTAAAATACCAAATAAATTATCATTTATAATATCAAATAAATTATCATTTATAATATCAAATAAATTATCATTTAAAATACCAAATAAATTATCATTTAAAATGCCAAATAAATCACCATTTAAAATACCAAATAAATCATCATTTTAAAATACCAAATATTTCAATATTTTATAATATGTATATATTATATATTAATAGATATTATATTATAATATTTTAAACAATATTTCAAACGCCAACTAAATCATTAATTGAAAGTGCAATAATTAATTTCCCGTACGAAAAATTATTATTTCGAAAATAATAGCGTCACATCGAAATAGTCAACGAACGAGTCAACAATGACTCTGAAAGCGTAGTTTAAAACAATGTACCGTACAGAAAATTGTAAATACTCCGATATTGCCTTAGACTAACGAGGGTCTCCCAAGTCATTAACGTTTTTCAGCGTGATCCGCGGTTCGGGTGAATCCTCCCGACCCAAACAACGGATTAGGTCGAATTCCATCGTTTGACTTTCGACGTTTTTTTGCCCTCGAGGAATGCCGAAACCTGCGCAAACATCCGACCACTTAGGCGTGTCAGTCGCGTGCGTCTCGTCGGAACGTCGTAATGTCAGTTCCGAGGCTGTCGATCGGTGTTGTTTTTCGCGCGCGTTCAAAAGCGACTAGCATGCGCGGAAACGCGCTATAGATAGAAAAGGTCCCGGAGAAGGCGAGCGTAAGAGATACCGAGGCGACCGATAGCGCGACTAGTCGTTATTAGCGACACTTCGTCCAGTGTTTATCTCGAAAGGAAACCGTGGCCGCTAACGAGGAAACAATTTATGCGCGGCTCACAATTGCAACGGCGAGCAACGAAACGTTTTCGGGGGACCGGCTTCCATTCGTCGACCCGCGGCTGGACGGAATTTGGCAGGATGATCAGAGTCTACGATAGCACGCGTGACTGTCCACGATCGTTTACTATGTCACAACATTGTTGCGCTCTTCGAGTGCAAAGCCAATTTTAACTGCGTCTTGCTGCCAAAAGCAATCGCGATCTCCGATTTGTTCGCGAGAACGTACCTTTCGGGGCGCCGTGAAGTTACCCGGTCTCGTTTCAAGGCGCGGTGCCTTTAATTTAGCAGTACACTGTTAATTTTCTGATAAAAAAACATTGTGCAAGTCACGGTGAACGAATGACGATGACTCGTTCGAAAGTCGATGAGTCGATGAGTCGTCCTCGAAAGTGCTGTGAATTGAAACGTCTCTCTAGAATCGCTAAACAATTTTTTTCCGTCCATGTAATTGGTCTCATTGTAAAGTTTGAAGCTTGTACATTCGCGGCATAGTGTTTATTTCCTGATGAAACATACGTGCAAACCCGTGGAGAATGAAACATCGTAGCATTGACTCACAGAGTAAAGTCCCTCCTCTCGAAAATACTGTAAATCGAAACGTCTCTAGAATCGTTAAAAAATTCTTTCCGTCAATGAAATTTGACTCGTTTTAAAGCTTGAAGCTTCTACTTTCACAATGCGTAGTCCATTTTTTGATAAAACGTTTATACATGTCGGAATAAATTAATACCCTAGCAATGACTCTCGGACAATAAACACGTTTCTCTCGAAAATATTGTAAATTGAAACGTCTCTAAAATCGGTAAACAATTTTTCCGTCAATGAAACTCATCTCATTTTAAAGCTCGTAGCTTCTACTTTCGCGACATCTGGTCCATTTTCTGATAAAACATTTGCAGAAGTCGGAATAAATTAAATACCCTAGCAATAACTCGGACAATAAATACGCTCCTTTCGAAAGTGCCATAAATTGAAATGTCTCTAGAATCGTAGTAAAATTTGTTCCGTTAATAAAACTACCATCGTCTTAAAGATCGAAGCTTCCTCTTTACAACGAGCCATAAAAACTTGATCCACGATTTTTTCCGACCGTCCCACAGTACAGAAATGGAGAACGAGTTCGTCGCGTACGAATATCAGCATCGGGAATAAGAACAAAAAATGAACAGATGCCACACAAAACAGTGAAAATATTGCACAAATTTAGAACCCCCGTTGCGCCGTTGTTGGCCGAATGAAACCGTTAAAAGGTATAGTTAATTTCCATTTAATTCCCGTTTCTCGCAATTGACGTCGCAGATTTTTCTTTCGCGTAAAGCTCGACGGTCTATCGACGAGCGTGTGTTCCCAACGATAGAAAAGACGCGTTCGTTGGCAACACCACGGTACAGTGAACCGATACATGACCTCTCATTACTCGGCTCATACATCAAACGCGCGGCGTATCTGCGCGACGGATACGCCGTATCCGCGACAAAACGCGCGCACGATAGCAGCCTCTGTTTACAAAAGACATTGTCCCCGCGCACGTCGAAATTTTCCAGCTAGCCGGCGAAAATCTCTGGTCGTTCGAAGATCCTGGACCATCGAGGATTCACGAGATCGTTCGTTCGTTCGTTCGGCATCGTTCCAGGGGGGCGAGAAATCGCCGCGCGATCGAAAGCTCGCTTTCCGACGATGCACGGCCGCGATCACGCGGCTGCATTTTATCATCGTACGACTTCGTCGCGACCAAGTGCATAAGGTTTCGTCGGGAACAGGAGCACGCGATAAACTCGACCTATAAGAAACCGCGTCTCGCCGCGCGCTCCCTCCGGGGACCCGCGTAATTCGGACTCGCGGGAGTAGAGTTCATTGCGACGAGATAACCGGAGGACGTTCGTGAATGAAGATCTTCCTCCGGCTGCGTCGGAAAAACTCGCGACGGAGCTTGGAGAGCCGCCAGATAGAGAGTGCTCGAAATTTCAGCGTGGACGGAATCCAAGATCCGAGCCGATTCAACGACCGATGTTTCGTTAGATAACGCGCCGTGGAGACGATGATCGAACAGATCCCGGTGTTTGGACGAATTTGTACAGGTGTTCAGCTATTTTTAGATGGCACTTTGTACACAGTTCGACGAGAACGGGCCGTGGTGGGGTCGTTTTTATCGAATTAGTGGATTTTAGAGCATTATTTTTCGTAAAACGGCGACCGGCGATTTCGAAGAATTTTTTCTGGCGAAAGTAATGCTTGTCTCGGACGAAATTTGGTGCCATCGGAAAGCGCGTTTCTTGGACCAGTTACTATCAAAATTTCACGTAGAAATATCATATCGTTCCACTCTTTCATTTTTTATTTATTTATTCGCAGAATTGCTTCGACGCGCAATTCGTGTCCCCTTCTAAGAGCCGATTTTGCAGATTTTTTTCGGCGACACTGAATTTTCTTTCGGAAAATCTGCGACACCACTGGAAAGCGCGTTCGTTGAACTGCTTATCGTGAAAAATTCAAGTAAAAATATTAACCGTGGCAGCGACGGTAGCGTCCAGCATGAGAGGCTACCGAGAATTCAGAAGCAACGTGACGAGTCCCGCTGCTGTTCCCTTCTGGACGTCTCAGATTTCAATGGTTTGACAGTGTATCCAATGGTGCCGAGATAAGATAAGAACGTTACATAAAGCCGAGTTCAAATCATCGATGCGTTTATGGCTCGTCAAAATTCCGAGGGAAAAGAAAAGCGATAAATGATAGGAGTTTTTCGAATTTGCTTACCGAACCGGAGATAAGGAAATGCTTGCGCGCATAGAATGAAATTGGAGAACTGGGATTTATTGTTGCCGTTCGTCGACGCACGCCTGATAAAAAGCCGACGTTTTGTGCGCTGGTATTTCGTAATATGTTGTATAAAAGTGAATGGAAAACGAGGCCTCTTATCGACGCAGCGCGGGTCTTCGATAAACCTTTCGATGCTATTTGCCATCGAATCGTTCGATCTCATCCGTGAATCTTTCGATCTCATCCGTGAATCTTTCGATCTTTTCGTCGAATCGTTCGATCTTTTCATCGAATCTTCGTCGAATCTGTTAACCAATTAGCTGTGGCGTCTAATTTTCATAGTGCGCGCCTATGTGCGCCGCGAGAATCAAGCAACGACGAAAACACAGAGCAAGTTGAAAAGGTCGCTGTTAAAATTTGGAATCGAAAAGACGGTTTTATTTCATCAAATCGACAATTTTATCACCAATATTCATTTATTCACTTAACATTAACATACACTGCGTACATAGTAAGTGAAAAACGCAGGAAAAATCGAACACTTGTAAAAGTTAAAAATTCTAATTGCTGCTTTAAAATGCTATTCGGCAACGCAGGGAACGATGCATAATGACGCTTTGCACGTCGAACACAATATCGTGGTTCTTTTTTAATTTCATTTTTATAACAATGCAAACATCTTCGCGTGGGATTAGCCTCAAAATATTCCAAATATCTCGATATTTTTGTTCTCGCTATAATTACAATTTAAGTAGCGAATGGTCGCTACTTTTTACGCGCGACAAAAAGAGACACTTAGTAGATTCAGTAAATCTTCTCATGCCTTGAGTATATTTATGCAGAATGGACAATTTTTGTATGAAAAGAGTTCTTTTCAAATGATCTTTAACGATCTTTAAATCGATTCGTCGGTGTCGCAAGATGCAATAAAAAGATCAAGCAACAAAATATCAGTAATTATTATGAATAAACACGGTGATTAAGTTATAAATAGTATACCCTAAGAAATTACTCCGAATTATTACAAATTATTACAAATTATCACAAATTACTACAATTAGGTTCACTATTTCCGAGCAAACTACAAACAATTAATTTTTTCACCACAATTTAAATAGCCAATGGTCAATACTTGCCATGTCACGAATAGCCGGTGGCACGACGGGTACGCTCATCGTGACACAAAATACAGCCACTTTTCCTTGGCGAGTATACTCGTCAAATGTCACCGTCGAACCGCCGCAAATTAATTAGCCGCGAATGTTTAAAATATCGACTCGCGTTCCGACTCGTAGAAAAACCTCCGCGATCCTCTTTTTTTTTTGTCACTCTTCGGCACGAATGTACACACACACACCTAATCGACAGATTAATGGAGACTCACGACTCGGCGAACGTAAGCATCGAATGCAACATGATCGGTCACCTAGCAAAAGACGGGAAAAAACGGCGGTTTACGATCCGCCGTGCCGAGCAAAGTTTACGTACAAATAGTTAACGAGTTATTCTCGGCCGGCCGGCTAGACAACGATGATTCTAACGAACGAGTGATTTATACAACGCGCCCCGGACACGTTATTTACCGATTTGCATTCGTGCACGTAGTTCGATTTTCGCTCGTGACGCGGAACGAACGAGCCATCCTTGATAGAAAAACAAAGAAGAAGGAAGGAAGGTGGCTATGTCGCGAGAATTAGATACATTTTTCATAGATTCCTTCTTATCCGCCGCGACTAATCGCGCCCGCATTGCGCGATGCAATTGATGCTATAACCACGCGAGCATTGACGAATTTTAAATTGTAAAAAATGCTAATACGAGGCTATCGCGATCGTTTTTTATATCCATTGGAAACTGTTGCGCAACGATTATGAAGATTCTTCGGACGTCTGCGCACAGTTCAGTTTGTCAAATTGACGTGCGTGTCATGCCCTCTCATTATTTTCCTGCCGTATGTTTTATTTTTTATTTTTCACGGTGGCTCTGAAAAAACATTCGAAGAGCATAGTTGATTAACTTTACGATTACGACCGGTCGCGAAGCAATCTGTCTGGGAATTCTTTCAAGAGAGCGTTTATCAACGATGACAAACATATATAATTTGTTTAAAAAATTTACATTCATGGCTCAGTTTATATCGATGACATCGGTTCGGTTAAATCGGGTTTAATTTGTTCATACGCGCCGAAACATTAATTCCAAAATAAAGAAAACCGTAGTTTGTTCGATTACGATTAGGATAAAAGGATGCACGAGTTATTATGGGGTTCGTCTAGAATGCCCATCGACTGCATCATGCGAGCAACGACGGTTCACGGGACGCATTACGAACGTTGCGATGCGATGCGTACAGGTTACGCGATCGAATCGGCTGCAGCGGTGCACAGATTGCATCTTTTCACCGCCAAGGCCTCGAATGATCGCTGAACGAGCACCGTGCGGATCGTTTACGCAGTCGGCGGCGGCTTACTTTCCTGGACGACTCGCAAGGATCGGGGCCGTGACTTCGTTAATCGATCCCTGACTTCCGCTAATTGTCCGATTAGTCAACGACAAGTCCGCGACGGATCGTATCTCGGATCGCTGCTGCTGCCAATTAATCGTGACCCTTTCGCGGCCGATACGCAACGGAGAATGATGCGTGAATTAGTAATCACTGGTCATTAGAGTCGGACGGAACGATGCTGTGACGAACGATTGTTGTTGTTGCTGTCGCGAATGTTAATTCGAATTTCTGCAGTCAGACGTTTCTACGTAACTATGTTGAATTCGTTCTTTGCTATTTTAATTTCAAGTGGACGTTTCTTAGTCTAGTTATTACTACATTATTTTCTTTTCATATAGTTATTTGAAACAGCCATTATCTTTTCAAATAGTTATTTGAAATAGCCATTATCTTCTCAAATAGTTATTTGAAGTAGCCATTATCTTTTCAAATAGTTACTTGAAATAGCCATTATCTTTTCAAGTAGTTATTTGAAATAGCCATTATCTTTTCAATTTGTTCTTCCTTATTTTCATCTCAATTATTTCAATTAGCTTTCTCATAATTTGAAATTCGAACAGTTATTTCTTATTTTATTTTCAGGACAGTTGTTTCTTATTTTCATTTCAGACAGGTATTTCTTATTTTCATTTCAGACAATTATTTCTTATTTTTCCTTTCAGTCGATTATTTCTAACTTCAATTTCAAACAGTCGTTTTCTTTAATTTCTAACAGTCATTATCTCACTTCAATTTCAAACAGTCATTATCTTTAATTTCAAACAATCGTTTTCTTACTTTAATTTCAAGCAGTCATTATCTCACTTTAATTTTAAACAGTCATTATCTCACTTCAATTTCAAACAGTCATTATCTAACTTTAATTTTAAACAGTCATTTTCTTCCTTTAATTTCAAATAGTAATTTTCTTGTTTTAATTTCAAAAGTATCATTTTCTTACCTTAACTTCGAAAGCGTCATTTTTTTGCCTTGATTTCAAAAGCGTCATTTTTTTGCCTTGATTTCAAAAGCGTCATTTTTTTACCTCAACTTCCAAAGCGCCATTTCTTATCTTAATTTCAAATCATCATATCGTACGTCCATTTCAAATAAAATTCGTCCAGATCAAGCCCAGCAATTCCTCGTCACTGAAAATCGCGTCGACGCGCACCGAACGGAATCGCCAGTTTTCCGTAATCCTTTACTCGCAGTTCCCAGCGTCGCAGTATCCGCTAGTCAGCGTGCACGCGGATAGGCTAATCGGTGGAATCTCAGACGCGAACGCAAAGTCACGTTCTTCAGCGATCTGTCGTCGCCAAGCGGCGACAAAGCTGTCGCTTCCGTGACTTGTGAACCGCTGCCCGCGACTCGAACGACGAGATAGGCCCCTCCGACGGCCCACACGCCTAAAGAAAGACGCGCGCGGCGTGGTTCTATCGCGTAGGAAAAGCGGAGCTCACCCGAGAAACGGCTGATTAGATAGACGGTTTTGTGTTGTCCTCGTCAGGCCTCGCAGCGTTTCGAAGCGGACACCGTCGGACGAGTGGCAGGCCCGACACCGGCGAGGACACACTGCGAGCCTGAAACACACATGCTGAGGAGACGAGCGAGAAACTGACCGTCACCATGAGGCCATGGACCAACAAATCCGTCGGCCTTGGGCTGCTCGGACTGCTACTAATCGTCACCGGCACGTGTCTGTACTTGTTCTGGCCGGCCATCTTCCACCATGTTTTACAAAAGGTAGGCAGCCTTATGGTTATCGGCTCGGAGAAGCTCATTTGATGGCTGTTGTTTTCTGTCTTGCGATGTTGTATCTTGTAATGTTCCATGGAATTGATGCTCTGTCTTGTGATGTTCCATAGAATTGATGCTCTGTCTTGTGGTGTTCCATGGAATTGATGCTCTGTCTTGTGATGTTCCATGGAATTGATGCTCTGTCTTGTGATGTTCCATGGAATTGACACTCTATTTTGTGATATTCAATGTAATTGACACTCTATCTTGTGATATTCAATATAATTGATACTCTATCTTGTGATATTCCATGGAATTGACACTCTGCCTTATATCTTCTGATATAATCGACACTCTATCTTGCGATATTCAATATAATTGACTCTCTATCTTGTGATATTCCATGGAATTGACACTCTGCCTTATGATATTCCATGGAATTGACACTCTGCCTAATGATATTCCATGGAATTGACACTCTATCCTGTGATATTCCATGGAATTGACACTCTATCCTGTGATATTCCATGGAATTGACACTCTATCCTGTGATATTCCATGGAATTGACACTCTATCCTGTGATAATCCATGGAATTGACACTCTATCCTTTAATATTCCATGGAATTGACACTCTATTTTGTGATATTCAATATAATTGACTCTCTGTATTGTGATATTCGATGGAAAAATTAGATAAGATAGAGTACCTGTTGAATCTCCTAACGAAAACAAAAATACAAGTTCTAAAGATCGAGTAATTAATGAATCATTTAACGCTAGAACTAACGAACCGTGAACGTGATTAATGCATATTTTTCAATAACAATGACAAGATTTATTTAATCTACCCACGATTTTTATTGTAACTTGTGCTTGAACACGCACAAAGAGTTTCATATAAGAGTATCTGAGAAAAACATTTTTATAGTGTCAGAACTTGTAAAAGAAGAAATGAGAAACCAGTCTTTTTTACTCTAATTATTCTAATTGAATAATTAGTGTTGGAACTAATAGAATAATTAGTGTTGGAACTAATAGAATAATTAGTGTTGGAACTAATAGAATAATTAATATTGGAACTAATAGAATAATTAATGTTGAAACTAATAGAATAATTAATATTGGAATTAATAGAATAATTAATGTTGGGACTAATAGAATAATTAATGTTGGAACTAATAGATTAATTAATGATGAAACTAATTACCGTAGGAATTATATGTTCCCAAAACCCTTTAACTATAGTAGAAGGTATTATGAAATTATTCTTACTTGGCGAGATTTACTCCAACGATAAACGGCGACAACGCTGCAATCATTTTTAACGAATTAATTAATTTAATATGTTTAATATATTTCCTATATAAAAGACTGTATAATCACAGCAATTTCAAGATAGAAAAATAGAAAACCAGTGATTTCGATCGCGATTTACGTTTTAAAAAAATCTGTTAAAAGTGTAACAGTTGCATGAGTCACAGCACTCGATTTCATTATGCATCGAGTCCATTGAGTCATAATGTCAAACGGAGATCGCCGATAAGTTTAAAAAAACGAATTCGGTTTTAATGAGTCTCTCGACGATAATTGAATAATATTTACTAATTGTTTAAACGTTTCTGATGTTTTGCGCTTGAGAATATTCAAACAGTTTCTTTTCTTTTTAGATAGAATGTAACACTCGCGAGTCTCGAACAAATAATTAACGGAACGAAGAAATGACTGAAATGAGATCATAGTTCTTCCGCATCTTGCAATTAACGCAGGCAACGTTTATCTCGGATGAAAATCCGCGGCGCTGATTAACGCGATTCGCGCGCGCGCGAAAAGATCGGAATCTTTTAGTGATCCGCGATCGACAGGACACCTTGGAACCGTGGCGAGCGTCGATATGCGCGCTCAATTAATTGAACAATCGTCCAATTTTCCAATCGCGTTCAGACGCCGGCCAGACCGTCTCTATTTTCGTTTAAATTTTCGGTGTCGCTCCGACGCGACGCGTCGCGTCGTCGCAAGCTGCTTTCGCTTCTTCTTCTTCGCGCCCCTCGCACGCGTAACGCGAGAAGAAAGATTTTTCGAAGACGCGATACGACCGTCAGATAACCCAAAGGCCATCCAATACAACTTCTCGGCGTTGGAAAAGAAAACGACGCGTCGCGACTCTGTTTGTACGACGCGCGTGTTATGATGCTCGACAATAAAAGAGAACGGATAAAAGAATCGAAACGCGTTCCGGATAAAGGCTTTTGTGCTTCGCGGTTGACACGGCGCGAAGAAACGCGAAAGAAACAATTAATGCGACGTGCACAAGAGAGGAATTATCGTCGCGACGCTTCCTCGACGATAATTCTCGTGGCAGCTTTTTTTTATTCTTGCCTGCGACATCTCTGCTTGCGAACGAACGCTTCGACAAAATTCATTTATTTGCTCCAAACAATGCGCAATAGAAACTTTATTTTTATCTGAAAGAACCGGAAAAAATTCGAGCAACATTGTTGAAGCGTGCCGAAACTGCGTGCGAAGTGTCGGATCGATTATTCGCATCAGTTCTTCTGCAAAAAAATTCCGAAGTGTCGATAGTTCCAGGAACCAGGAAAATGGACTCGCGATAATTGCCGTACAATTAACACGCTGTGCACGGGTATCAATAGCTGTTTAAACAATTTTATTTCTGTTTATCCTGAAACTAGGTATCCTAAATAGTTTGCTAATCCTAAAACGAAATATCCTGAATATTTTGTTAATCCTAAAAATCCTCGTTGTATTGTTATCAAAATTTTAACGCCAGCTTATATTAAATGTCTTTTTAATTAAAGACACGCATACTGCGTGCCGCACTGAATTAAAGCACTAATTAAATTAACAAAAGCTCTCGTTTAAATCGTCGATCATTTTAACAACTTCTGAATTATGTTTTGACGCAGGAGATGCCGCTGTCACCGACCTCGAAGGCGTTCCAGGTCTGGAACGACACGACCAGCTTGCCTCCGATGTACTTCAGGATCTATTTCTTCAACTGGACGAACCCGCACGACCTCCGCGAGAAGGGAAAGAAGCCAATCCTGGACGAGCTCGGACCATACGTATTTCGGTGAGTCGCGGGAAAGGGATCTGAAAAACGGAACGACGAAAAAGTTTCGAAATCGATGCACATCGCCCGAAGGTGTAACAATCGCTCGAGGCCGCGCCGCGATGCACGCGGTGCCCTCCGCTTCCACGGCGGTCGAAACACAGTGATCGGTTTCGAGTATCAATTATAATTAATCGTTGGAACCGGGCACTCGCCGGGAAAAGCGTGATTTTGCTCGCAACGGAAACCGTTGCGTAATCTTGCATTGCCGGTCGATGCAATCCGGGCGTATACGAGCGCCGCGATTACGCGAACCGGGCGAGATTCAAAATGATTTGCAGCTCACTTTTCGATCTATTGTGTACTGTGTTAAAGTAGACACTTGTAGCTATAGTTTGAGGTACGTTGCATTGCGAAAGGCTCGATGAGATGTAACTTTGGATCGTCTTGAAGATTCCTTTGAAATCGAGGCGCGGTCCTTAGGATCGGTTATGTCACTATGTTGCGATTTTTAGATGCGACGTCGAGATTATTTTTTGAATCTGTTACATACGGTTCGAAAGTAGATAGTTTTAGCTTTCATTTGAGCCCCGTTGCATCTCAGTAGCACTACGCATTACTTGAAACCCGTTTGAAATTCTGTTTGAAATCGTTCAGTTGTTTGCTGATTTTTCATTTTTGTCATGGATTGTGTTTCTTAGATTTTTCATGGTAATCCCTGCTATTGTAATTTAATCTCATTTACCCAATCTTGAAGTAGACTCTTCCAGCTTTCATTTGTGCATCATGGCATAAAATTAGCCCCACGGAAAAGTCACTTAAAATCCTTCCGAACTTCCCTTTAGAATCTTCGAATTTTCGGTGACTTCACTTTTGCCATGAGTTCAGTTTTTCAAATTTTTCATAGTATCTCCGTGATTCTAATTTAATCTAACTTACCCCATCTCAAAGTAGACATTTTCGCCTATAATTTGAGCTAAGTTGCATTAGAAAAGTCTCACAGATACATAATTTAAAATCGACTTGAAGTTTCCCTCTAAAATCATGCTGATTTCGTCGACGTCAATACTCGGATTTTTTCAAAACAACTTGCATTCCGCCCTTCCACACAAATTATTATATTAGAAACAGAATAATCGTCTACTTCGAAGTGGCAAGAAGTGATTAAAAGTGCATTCTCCTTCCGACAATGCGAGAGACGTCGATGTAGAGACAATGTAGAAGACGTCGCAGAAGACGTTGCACGATCGCCCCGTACACCAAACGAGCCTAATCGATGCTTCCACGAGGGCATTCTAATAGACCGTCTAATCACGATAAGAAAGGCATAGTTAACCTCGGGATATTGACTTCTTAATGAACGGGTAGAACGTCTGCGACCTGCGCTCCACGGGGGCGTACGAGATTCGAAACATTGCAGCAAGTAATTACTTAATTAATCACTTTCGTTTAGACCTGTGTCAACCGAACGCGACTGAGAACGTGGTGCTGTTTAGGGGTTGGTACATCCACGGGGTGCTCCACTAATTTTTACTGGTTTCGAAGTTCCAGTGTTCGCTAAGTAAAATCGGAGCATGATCCTTCGAAACACTCGTCGAGATTTTTTAATTTTTCAAAATGGTTTCGATTTTCTTACCTATACCATTGTACCTAATCTTAAAGTAGATACTTTTAGCTTTATTTTCAGCTAAATTATGTTATTAAATAACCACGGAGACGTCACTTAAAATTAGCTTAAAGTTTTCCTTATATCAGTTTCCCATGTCGGGACATGCACTTCGAATTAGTTATAGGTATTTTTTAATTTTTAGATACGACATCGCGATTCTTTTACAATTTATTGTATACTACATTAAAGCAGACACTTTCACCTTTAATTTAAGCTGAATTATATATTAAAATTCGCACGGGTATATCTTTGATGGCTAGATTTTGGTGATCAGATTGCGGATAGAATTTTCCCAAGTTTATCGAATTTGATAACATTAAATATTATATATATATATATATATATATAAAAAAATTAATAACAATATATTTAAATATACATAATTATTTTTAATATTTGATAATATTAAAATTACGTAGGAACGCGATGTGACAATTTTTAGCGGTGCGTTAGAGTCGCCACTCGCCAGCAGAGGGTTAACAATCGCGTCCGTCCAGGCAACAAATATGGGAATAAAACGCGCAAAACCGCGTGTTACGCAAGCGTCCCAATTTTCGTTTCATACACTAATTACGTCCAAACCAAAGCACCGAAACTCGCGTCATAAATAACCAGTCGCTCGCAGTTAATGCGAGCGTGTGATGACACCTTGTCACATAACTCGTAAAGGGAAAATCAGGTTCTGACTCGTGGTGGCCGGTAATAATCAGCTCGACCGGCCAAAAACAATCCTTTCACGTCCGAATACGAGCCGGTTATAGTTAGATCAACGGACGATAGCCTTGAAAAAGGCGATTGCATCTCGTGGTTGCGTTCGAATTGAAGGAATGCAGCTGCGAAATCGGTCGCGCCTCTCTGTCCTGCGATCGGCGAAAGTCAAAACGGGTTGTCCCGGCTGTGTTTTTTTATCTCGAACGTCATCATCATGATTTTCTGGATCACGGGATCGCGCACAACCCGTCGCGTGCGCGCGATCCGTGCGCATCGAGGTCACGGCGATGGCGAGACGCACGTGCCTCCCCCGTCGAAATCGAGTAGATATCGGGGAAACGGTTTTCCTATACCCATGGGGGGGCTCCCCGTCCCTCGTCTTCGGCCCTCCCTGTCGCACAACAAAAAGATTGCACCGGCAACAATAAGGGAGCATTAAGGCGCATCCGCGCGCTTAGCGGCCGGCAATTGTCGCGTCAAATCTAATCAACGAGAGACACGTACTACGGATATGTAGGCTAGAACATCGAATCACGGCTCCTCTAATCGTCGCCGCTCCACGACGGAATCTCCGTTTAGCGTCGTCGAAATTCAATTTTTCATGTAAATATTTTGTTGTATATTAATTAATAATCGATTTGAATTCTTCCTTGAAATTCGCATCGCTTTCCTGGACGTCGATGGTCGGTATTTCTCGATTTTTAAATGCGACATCGCGATTCTTTGTTCGTTTATTGTACGCTGCGTTAAAGTAGATAATTTTAGCTTTATTTTCAGCTAAATTAAGTTATTAAATACCCACGCGGACGTCAATTAGCATTCACTTGTGAAGTTTTCCTTATCTCAGTTTCCCAAGTCGAGACTTCCATTTAGATTTGTCATAGGAATTTTTTAATTTTTACATTCGACATCGCGATTCGTTTATAATTTATTGTATACTACGTTAGAGTAGATACTTCTAGCTTTCATGTAAGCTAAGTCGCGTTGAAAAACTTCGTTAGGAGCGTCACTTCAAATCGGTTTGAACTTTCCCTTTAAAATCGGAGTATCATTCTTCGAAACACTTGTCGGGATTTTTTATTTTTCAAAATAATTTCGTTTCTCTTTCCTATGCCACACATTGCACCTAATCTTAAAGTAGATACTTTTAGCTTTACTTTCAGCTAAATTAAGTTATTAAATACTTACGGAAACGTCAATTAAAATTAACTTGAAGTTTTCCTTATCTCAGTTTCTCAAGTCGAGAATTGCATTTAAAATTGGTCATAGGAATTTTATAATTTATAGACACGACATCGCGATTCTTTTATAATTTATTGTATACTGCGTTAAAGTAGACACTTTCAACTTTAATTTGAGTCATCAAACGTTATTAAATTCCCAGTGGAAAGCACTGTAACATCCATTCAAAGTATAGGCCAAAGAATGCTATAACCTGAAAGCTTCTAATAACGCATAATATTAAATAAACATGTCATAAAACAATATAATTAATAAATATATGGTAACGTAACATAATTAATAAGCATGCGGTAACGCAAAATAATTGTCTACTCTATAAACTGGTTTCCAGCCCACACAGTGAATTCGCGTATTCGCCGATTCGCTCGTTCGCTCGCGACCCTTAATTGGCAGTCAAGCTCCGCGGAGTCGATTCTAAACATCTGGCTTCTTAATTGCACGTTGCACGGTTCGCGAGCTCACCTAATTCTCCCTAATTCTCCCTAATTCCGAGGTTTCCGTCCACCGTCGGACTAACCGGCATTATGGCGATCGGTAAACATTCTTCTCCGTTATCGAAACTGCCCACCAAATGGCGAATTGTGTAACACGACGGTCCTGAAATCTTCTCAAGAATTTAGCGTAGGTCAGGAACGAGGAATAGCATCGCACGTTTTTAATCCGACGATTTTTAATCTGGCGATTTTTAATCCGACGATTTTTAATCCGACGATTTTAATCCGACGATTTTTAATCCTTCGCGATCGAATCTCCCTACTCGAGCGAGATACAACTGCTGCTGATTTTAGCAAATATAATAAATTCTCTGAAATTGTCCCTCAGATTCTATGCAAAAATGGACGAGAGGGAAGAGACACAATTATTCGAGCCTTGCACCTCGTTTTTATAATTGCTGAGAATCGGCAAATACAAAAATGAGCCCGAAATTGTCCATTTTTGCTTACAAGCTGAAGAAAATAGATTAAATAGATTAAATGAACTAACAACGAAGCGAATTGAACTGTTGACACCGCTCGTAATTCGACCGACAAACATTGAAAAATCAAACGTAGACAGCGTGAACCATAAAAAATGAATCGCGTTTTCCTCTTCGATCGGTTGTTTACAAGCCGCGGTGGCTTATCAGGAAATACTCTAGATCAAACACACTCGATACAGAAAAGTTCCACTAGACAAATTGTAGAAGTACACTTGTTGCATTTCAAGCGAAAAAATAACCGTGCAAATCGCATTTGCTCAGGTGCGCACCGTGTTTCCGGTTTTTATCGCGACTGCATCAATCGTCGTGCATGTCGATAAACGACGGCCTAGACGGGATTGTGTAATCGTTAATAATGATCTGCCCAGTCAGCATCATTTTTTTACGAAAGTCGGTGTCCCGGATGAAAGTCGATTTGTTCTGCAAAAAGTCGATTCATTATTTATTATTTACTTGTAGCAAGCTATTCTATAAGAATCAAGTTATTTCGTACGAGGCAATTTTTATTTTATATTCAATTTATTATGTTCAATTTATTATATTCTATTTATTATGTTCAATTTATTATGTCCAATTTATTATATTCTATTTATTATGTTCAATTTATCATATTCAATTTATTATATTATAGAGATTCTAAATTGTATTCTATACTATTCTATATTATATTCTATATATTATTTGATTCTATATTCTATTCAATTTATTTGATAAAAGTCAAGTTATTTCATACGAGGCAATTCATTCTATAAAAGTCAATTTATTTGATAAAAATCAAGTTATTTCATACAAATCAATTTATTGTATCAAAGTCAAGTTGTTCCACAAAACTCAACTTGCTTCACAAAAGTCAATTCATGCCACAAAGTCAATTCAATGCCACAAAATTCAATTCAATGCCACGAAATTCAATTCAATGCCACAAAATTCAATTCAATGCCACGAAATTCAATTCAATGCCACAAAAGTCAATTCAGTGCCATAAAAATCAACTTATTCCCTAAAAATCGATTTCCATTTCCAATGTAAAAGTCGTCTAGATCCATGAAGATCGATTTCATAGAGCATATACAGGGTAATCTAACGTCGTCTTTTTTACAGGGAAATCCGTCAGAAGGCGAACGTGACGTTCCATCCGGAGAACAGTACCGTCAGCTTCTTCTACCGTCGATGGTGGTACTTCGAGCCGGAACTGACCAACGGCTCTTTGAGCGACAAAATCACGCAGCTGAACACCGTCGCGATCGTGAGTAGAGCGACCTTGAATCGTCGTTTAATAATACGTTTAAACGCCGCGTTTAATCTTTACACGGCCGCGTGAATTCTACGCGCGTCGATAAACCGCGGCGCTCGCGATTAAGCGGCCGCGTGACGGATCAAATTAGCGGCCGATCGATTTTTTATGTACGATTTCCTCCGCCTCTTCGTCGACCGGGAAACGTTCTTTCCTTTTCGTTTCTTTTCTTTCTCGCCGTTGATCACGAGAATAGCGGTGAAATTGATTGCGCGCGAACGACGCGGTGCACAAATCGCGCGAATAATAACGCATCGATCGCGCGAGATGGGAACGCGCGTAGATCGCTGCCGATTGTTATGCGGAAATGTTTATGCATCGCAGAAACGACGCGGAAATTGAGATCGAGGAAACGTGGATTTAATAGACGCGTTTCTGTCGTAGCATGAGAGGAGTTGGAACTGTTGTTGTTAAACGATTTTGTTGAAAATATTACGTCGGATCGCGAATAATTATCGTTCGTTTTTATCGGACATTGATTTTGTTTTTCTTCTATTTTATTCATCTTTATCTTTTTTATTTCTTTTGATCTGTCTTTTTTGTTTCTTTTTATTTTATTTATCCTTTTTGTTTCTTTTTATTTTATTTATCTTTTCGGTTTTGTTCTATTTTATTTATCTTTTCGGTTTTGTTCTATTTTATTTATCTTCTCTGCTTTGTTCTATTTTATTCATCTTTTTCCGTTTTTCTTATTTCATTTATTTTCAACCCTTATCTATTGAAGCGAGAGCAAAAAAATCCGTTTGCCCCGATGACTCATGCTGGGCAGATGCGAACAATAGATTACATTTCGCTGCATCAGAAATGATTGAAGTTAAAATTATTAAAATTATTTACGATTATTTATGATTATTTGCGATTAATAATTTATCGCGTCTTCGAGAGACCAGCAATGCTGCGAGATATTACGATCGTGACAGTGAAGATACGAAAAATCGCCGAAGATGCTCCGATATCGTTGGAAGCCTTGGAAATCGATTCGACTCGCCATCAGCGAATACATTGACCTACGCTCTTTCGCAGTGTTTCATAGCGGTCGTGATTCACGGTTATATTCGCGAATCGCTCTTGTTTGCCGCTGCGAAATTGGCGATTAATCGGTCGTCAACGAAATTTATTCGCTTGCACCGAGCACGCGCGCGAGCACGCCACGTGTTCGAATTTTAATGAATCGTTGTGTCCACTTTAGGGCGCGGTATGTTAAATTGATCCCCGCGTAAAAATCGAAGCTCTTTCGTCCGACGGTATCTCTTTGATTCAACAACGTGTCAAAACATTCGCCGCCTTCGTATCGTTGACGCCTTTAGGCAAAAGAAAAAAAGAACTTGTTCCTATCTTAGATCTCTTTCGATGGTCGATTTTGTATTTTTCCGAGAATACTAAGTCGTGCAATCGATAAGAAAAATCTACGCAGAAATTTGTTCTACTCGTCGAAACCTGTTTCGAGTCTACTGAAAGGATTGAACGATCGTGAAGATTCCCTTTACAATCAACAATCTCGCAATTTTTCAAAATGATTTGGTCAAGCAGTTTTTTTCTATTGTATTCTATCTTAAAGTAGAGGCTTCTAGCTTTCATTTAAGCATGGTTGTATGGAAATAGTCCGTCGGAAACATAGGTTAATATCCATCCGGACTTCATAGTATCCCTTCCGCCGAGATTTTTATTGATTTTTCATGTTTTGTCACGGTCCGAGATTTTATAATTTTCCAAAGCATTTACGCGATTCTCATTGAATCTAATTTAACCTATCTTAAAGTAGACACTTCTAGCTTTAATTTCAGCTATGTCGCATAGTAAAAGTCCTACGGGAACATAATTTAACATCCATCCAAACCTTCCCTTAGTTACGCGAGATTTTTGTCGATTTTTCATTTTTGTCACGGTCCGAGTTTTCCTAATTTTGCAAAGTGATTCCGCGATTCTCATTCAATCTAATTTAGCCTATCTTAAAGTAGACACTTTCGGCTTTAATGTCCGCTATGTCGCATAATAAAAGTCCTACGGGAACATAATTTAACATCCATCCAAACCTCCCCTTAGTTACGCGAGATTTTTGTCGACTTTTCATTTTTGTCACGGTCGGAGTTTTCCTAATTTTTCAAAGTGATTCCGCAATCCTCATTCAATATAATTTAGCCTATCTTAAAGTAGACACTTTCGGCTTTAATTTCAGCTATGTCGCATAATAAAAGTCCTACGGGAACATAATTTAACATACATCCAAACCTCCCCTTAGGTTCGCGAGATTTTTGTCCATTTTTCATTTTTGTCGCGGTCCGAGTTTTCCTAATTTTGCAAAGTGATTCCGCGATTCTCATACAATCTAATTTAGCCTATCTTAAAGTAGACACTTCCGGCTTTTTAATTTCAGCTACGTCGCATAATAAAAGTCCTATGGAAACATAATATAAAATCCATCAGAACCTCCCTTTAGGTTCACGAGATTTTTGTCCATTTTTCATTTTTGTCACGGTCCGAGTTTTCCTAATTTTTCAAAGTGATTCCGCGATTCTCATTCAATCTAATTTAGCCTATCTTAAAGTAGACACTTCCGGCTTTAATTTCAGCTACGTCGCATAATAAAAGTCCTATGGAAACATAATATAAAATCCATCAGAACCTCCCTTTAGGTTCACGAGATTTTTGTCCATTTTTCATTTTTGTCACGGTCCGAGTTTTCCTAATTTTTCAAAGTGATTCTGCGATTCTCATTCAATCTAATTTAGCCTATCTTAAAGTAGACACTTTTAACTTTAATTTCAGCTATGTCGCATAATAAAAGTCTTACGGGAACATAACTCAAAATCGTGTTGAAATCTTCCTTGAAAATCAACTTCGAACTACCCTTAAAATTCGAGGCATTTTCTATACCGTCAATGGTCAGCTCTTTCTCACTTCCCTCGATGATCTCCTCATTCTACCCCAATTTATTACACCCTATCTCAAACTAGACGCTTACAGCTTTAATTCCAGTCGCGTCGCCTAATAAAAGACCGACGAACACTATTTCCCCATACGTTAAACAATCTCGATTAGAATACGGCGCGCTCGAACCGCAGGCTCGACGAATCCGACTAATTAATCATACCTAATGAATCTGATTAATTAAACCGGGTGTGTTCGCAGTCGGCGAAGCACAAGACGCGCTACTGGGACCAAATGCTGCAGAGCACCCTGTCGTTGATGCTGTCCTCCTCGGAGGTGCACACCACGAAGACGGTGAACGAGCTGATATTCGCCGGCTACGAGGACAATCTGATCAAGCTCGGACGCGTGGCAGCCGTCGCGGATGACGACATTCCGCCGTTCGACAAATTCGGCTGGTTCTACATGGTGAGATTTTCTTAGGCTACGCATCGATCTCTCGTCTCGTCGCCGCGACCGTTTCTTCGGCGGGAGGAGCATCGCGTCTCGGCTGGCGATATTGTTTATTTAATTGTGTCGAGGGCGCGCGGAAGGTCGAAGATGCGATTTGCGCGCGTTGCGGCAGCAACGGCATTGCAGTCGGCGATAAATTATCCGCAGCGAGACTTAAATTGCCGGTGAATAGGACGGGTCACGTGTAGGTCGCTGAATGACGAATGAAAAGCAATGGGAGGCATATTATGATTTAATTTGTCGCGCGTCACGCGTGCAACATTTATTATGTCCGGGCCAATGCTGCGCGCCTCGCGACGCAGCCTCGTCCTCGTGCTCCGTTTTTTCGACGTCCGACAAACCCGACGGAGCCCGACGGAAGCGACGCGAGCAACAGAGAGCCAGCTGTGTCGTCGGTTCTCGTTTTAATTCGTAAACGATTTCTCGAGAAATGCGCTCTGTTTGGGCAGAGAAACGGCTCGACGATGTTCGACGGCCACTTCAACATGGACACAGGGGCTGCGGACGTGAGTCAGTTCGGCGTGCTGAAGAAGTGGAACTACAAGGACACCACCAAGTTCTTCAGGAGCCCTTGCAACGTGGTCGAGGGCAGCGCCGGCGAGTTCTGGCCGCCGTATCGTCAAAAGGACGAAATCTCGCTGTTCAGCGGCGAATTGTGCAGGTCAGTAGCTCGCGGACGGTGACAACGAGAAAGGGAAGCCGCGGTCGTTCATTAATTAGTCTCGTCTGCGAGCGCTAAATTGAGCGTCGACGAACCTTCGACAATCCTAATTCCCACGATCGACGCATTAACCTTCGAGACATGTAAATTGGATCGTCCGGCAAATCCTGTTCGAAAGCCGCCCCGCTACCCCCCGGTGTCAGTCAGTCTGCCGGCACTCAAAGCGAGCGTGTAATAGTAATTAAATTTGTTGACCATATATGTTCGACTCGTTTCGGTAAGATAATGGGAATTTAACTTTGATATTTTTCTGACATGTAAACGCGAGCTCGGGGGTGAGTTCGTTTGTCTTCTTCGGGATCTTTCAATTCTGCGAAATGATTTCGAGATTATTATTTGATATAAATTAGCGCGACTTGAAGCAGACACTTTTGGCTTTCACTTGAGGCATCGTGCATCGAAATATTCTCACGGGAATGTAACAGAAAATTCATCAGAACTTCCCTTTGAAATCTAGGAATTTTCTCTGATTTTCCATTTTTGTCATGGGTTGAGTTTTTCAAATTTTTCGTTCTATCTTCGCAATTCTAATTTAATTTCATTAACCTTCTCTTAAAGTAGACTCCTCCAGCTTTCATTTAAGCTCCATAGCATAAAATTAGGCCCACAGAAAAGTCATTTAAACTCCATATGAACCTCCCTTGGAAATTGTCCAATTTTCACTGATTTTCCATTTTTGTCATAGGTTAAGTTTTTCAGATTTTTCATAGTATTCCCGCGATACCAATTTAATCGCATTTACCGTGTCTTAAAGTAGACTCTTTCAGCTTTTATTCGAACACAATGGCATAAATTTATTCCCACGGGAAAGCCATTTAAAATCCATCTGAACTTCCCTTTAAAATCGTCGAATTTTCACTGATTTTCCATTTTTGCCATGGGTTCAGTTTTTCCAATTTTTCAAAGGGTTTAAGATATCGCCATTTAATCTCATTTACCCTATCTTTAAGTAGTCTCTTTCAGCTTCCGATCGAGCACCTTGGCATTAAATTAGCCCCACGGAAAAGCTATTTAAAATCCGTCCGAACTTCCCTTCGAAATCGTCAAGATTTCGCTGATCTTCCATTTTTGTCGTGGGCTGAGCTTTTAAAATTTTTCATAGTATCTCCGCGATTCTAATTTAATCCCGTTTACCCTATCTTATAGTAAACTCTTCCAGCTTTCATTCGAGTGTCGTTGCATAATATTAGCCCCACGGGAATTCATCCGAACTTCTCTTCGAAATCCTCGAATTTTCTATGATTTTTCTTTTTTATAATGAGTTGAGTTTTTCGAATTTTTCAAAGGGTTCAAGGTATTTCAATTCAATAACATTCACTCTATCTTAAAGTAGACTCTTCCAGCTTTCATTTAGGTGCCATACCGTAAAATCAGCCCCACGGGAAAGTCACTGAAAATCCATTTGTGTACTTTCCTTTAAAATCTTCGAATTTCATGGGTTCAGTTTTTCCAATTTTTCAAAGGGTTCAAGGTATTTCAATTTAATAACATTTACCCTATCTTAAAGTAGATACTTTCAGCTTTCATTTAATCTCTCTAGCGTTAACAAATTTCCACAAGAAAGCACTGTAAATTCGATTCAGACCTACTCCATAAAATCCGATGATTTTTCATCCCCAAAATTACGTTATCCAAGCAACATTATATTGTTTTACTCATTTCGCTACATTTTTAGAACAGTATTTCTTATCGTTTCTCCGTTCGTTGTCCAGACCGTTAACGTACGAGTATTCCGATTCCACTTTGCACATGGGGGTGGAAGGCTACCGGTACATCCTCAGCGAGAAGACTCTCGGCAACAATACGAGAAGACGTTACCCTCACGAGCAAGCGAAGTACTTCGAATCTACGACAACGACCGAAGACTTCTTCGAGGCGGAGCACTCCGCGGAAGTGACAGACCCGCCCGACGAGGACCCAGACATCGTAAACATAGGCAACTGTTTCTGCAACGGAAGATGTACCCCCGTGGGCCTGATGAACGTCAGTTCCTGCCGCTACGGCGCACCAGTGTTCGCCAGTCTGCCTCATTTTAACAGAGCCGATCCTAATCTTCGGGATAAAGTCGTCGGGTTGAACCCGGACGAGGACAAGCATGATTTCATCATCATCCTCGAACCGGTCAGTTCGTTGTCATAATTCATTTAACCGTCGTTGTGATTGTTATAATTATATAATTATATATAATAATAATATATATATATATTATATATATATTATATTAATATTATATATTATTATATATTATATTATATTATATATATTATAATATATATATATATATATATAATATTTATATAATATAATATATAATAATATAATAATATAATATATAATATAATATATAATAATATATATAATATATATATATTATATTATATATTATATTATTATATTATTATATTAATATTAATAATAATTGTGAAGTATAATTAACCGTAATTCTGAATTATTATTAACCATAATTGCAAACGTTCTTTCAGGCAACGGGCATTCCGCTGAAAGTGTCGGCGAGGCTGCAGGTGAACGTGCTCCTAGAATCATCAAAGATTGTGTCGTAAGTACGTTTCAAATAAATAGCGTCTCCTTATCGGACTGCGGATATTTATGGGACATTTTTCGGACATTTTTGTATTTCTCCTTTTCATACTTTCAACACCTTAAAAATAAAACGACGAGATTCTTACATTTTTCTAATCCCTTCACTGTATTGTATTCGACACGCCAATTTCTGCCACAAGTGCATAAAAATCCGCGGTCAACTCGCTACAGTGAGCATACATTCAACAAAGACGATGGCCCATATTAATTATATAATTAATCCGTGCAATGTAACGGGGAAAAAGGAATCTTAATCGTTAAATGACGTTCGTGTTTAGGCTATTCAAGGACGTTCCGACTATCTACTTCCCAGTGATGTGGTTCTCGCTGGACGTCGAGGCCACGGAAACGTTCATGGACGATCTGAAGACGTTGCTGTCGCTGTCCGACGTGTTCACGTATATCGGAGCGATCTTAGTTCTCGTTGGATCGCTCACGATCTTCACCGTAGCGTTGCTGTACCTGTTGAGCAGGCAGCGAGCCAACTCGGTAGCCAACGATAAGGTAGAATTATATGTAGAAATTGTACAATATTTAAACAATGTAGAATCTGTATCGATTAGGAAAGGACTATACGTGATGAAGACAGGAAATAGCGCGTACCGTACCTACAACTAGGATTACAACTATTAGGGTGTCCCATAAGTTCTTTCCGCGCCACGCTACGAATGACATTAACTGGCTGTGTTTATATAAACACGTGGGCTTATCTCTTGGCTGTTTAGGGTATCGGTTGCAGTCGTCCCAGAGCTCTTTTAGAGTATGCTTCGTTGGTGACAAAGTTCCTTATCAAATCTTTTCTGCGCCGTTCGATATGGATAGCCAAAATAAGCATATATATATATGCATATATATATTT